TTATCTTTTTTTTTTTTTTAATTAGAAATGCTTATATTGTAGAAAGACAAGAGATTTTAGAAAATATTTGGTTTATGTTTTTGCTAGCTCCCGTTACGGCGGGCCATCTCGTTATTCTATGTTTGGGAGTTTATGATCCGCAAGGGAAAAAAAAGTTTTAGCTATGTATAGGATATTTAAAGAGCACATGGAAGAAAATTTCTTTTAAAAAACATTGTATAAATCCCTGTGTATAAACTTTCAGTTAAAGCGAAGATGAATTGCAGGGAGATTTTTTTTTTTAAAGCCGCTAAACTGCTTAGTCTGCACTATAGTATTAAAGTAAAAACTCGGCGTTAAACTTCAGGGGAAGCGAGGGAAGAGGTTTTGAAGCGGGCAATTTTCTGTGGTTCCCGTTGAGCTTACGCTAAGGTTTTGGTGAGCTCAGCTCTGCACTGAAGGGGCTTTGAATTATGGACTACATTTCTTGGGGCTTCGTGAGCTTAGATCGATCTTTTTTCCTTTTATCTCTCTTTCTTTCTCTCTCTCTTTCTTTCTTCCTTCCTTCCTTATTTCCTTCCTTCCTTCCTCTCTTTCTTATTTGAAGAAAAGGTCTTATTAACTTGGGGATTTTCTTTCCTGCTTCTGCGGTATCTTAATTCACATTCGCATTACTTAGCACTGGAAAAAAAATAAATTGATACTTTGAAGAAAAATAGCTGCCATAAAATGCTCCCACTTCGAGATTTGTAAAAGTAAAATAAGCGCAGAAAAAATATTGATTAATATATACGTTATAGCTCTATATTACATTGCGTGTATGTGAAGCTGTGTACAAATGCACTTGTATACGCATCGAGGCTCTTTTGTTTGGAAGGCAGCGCAATTTGGACTACCACTCTAAATGTTTTAAAAGCCAAATCTGGAGAATATAATGCAAAATGGCTACCACCGCATTTAGAGGATTTTTTTATCTCCGAGAGGCGATGAAATAACAGCAGCCGTAAAGTCGCCTGGAATCTGACCCCCTAGTTGGAAAAAACGCTGCCCGATATTCATCTTTAATAGATATCTGCCATTTCACATCGGCACGACCCGGCTGCCTCCCGAAAGCTCCGGCACGGGGATAAGTGTGGGGGAAATTATATATCTATGTATATATATATGTAGAAGGGACATAAGCCTCGCCAGCATCCGAGAACGGATCGTGTGGGATTTGAGCACCGGTGTAAAAGAGCCCGGCACGGAGGAGAAGGCAGGCACAAAGCGGAGCGCTCCCTGCCCGCCCGGCTCCCCGGCGGCCGGCTGGCAGGAGCGATGCCCGCCGGCCCCGCAGCCTCGCCGCCGGTGCCGCTGCCGGCGNGACGGGCGGGCGGCGGCGGCGGCGGCGCGCACGGGAGGCGCGCCCCGGGCCGCCCGCGCCCTCCCAGCTCCCCCACCAGTGCACGAGTTTACCTCTAGAGGTCATCAGGCAGGATTTACGACTGGACAACAAAAGCACGTGATGTGAAGCCGTACCCCATATTTGGGTGCCTACGTAGGAGGGAACCAAGTACATGTCCCAGTCATTTCCATAATTCATCATAAATTGTGCAAGGGTGCTATAGACGCACAAAACGACCAAGAGCCACAAATCAAGCACACATATCAAAAAACAAATGAGCTCTTATTTTGTAAACTCATTTTGCGGTCGCTATCCAAATGGCCCGGACTACCAGTTACATAATTATGGAGATCACAGCTCGGTGAGCGAGCAATACAGGGACTCCGCCAGCATGCACTCCGGCAGGTACGGATACGGCTACAATGGCATGGACCTCAGCGTCGGGCGCTCTGCTTCCACTCACTTTGGTGCCAATGAGAGACCCCGCAGTTACCCGGCCAACACCACCTCTGCCTCGACAGAGCCCAGGTACAACCAGCCCGCGACGTCTTCCCACTCGCCTCCCCCTGACCCTCTGCCCTGCACCGCCGTGGCCGGTTCGCCTGTCAGCGAGAGTCACCACGGGGTGAAAAACTCCCTCGCCAACTCCACCAGCACTTCGTCCAATTCCAGCAGCAACACGCACATCAGCAGAGACGGGGTTGGCACCTCGTCTGGGACTGAGGAAGACACTCCAGCAAGCAGCGAGCAGGCAAGTGCCCCGACCGACCAAAGCACAGCCCAGCCTTCACAGCCCCAGATCTACCCCTGGATGCGAAAACTGCACATAAGTCATGGTAAAGCAAATACCCTGTTCTTTCTTTATTTCTCTGGAGGAAAAGGAGGATTTAATGTAAACCGGGTGGCTGCGCCGAGCAAGGTCGGGGAGAGGGGGAGAGGAGGGCGTGAGAGCGGGCAGTCTCCGCTCACACCACAACTCTGCTCGCAGGGAAGCACGCTCCCTTCTCTGGGCGAGTCCCCCCGGAAAGGGAAAAAACCAAAAAAACAAAAAAAAACCTCTCGGCCCCGAAAACACCGCCTGCCTGGCTCCCAGCGCCGGCGGGGGGAGTAGAAGGCGCCTTGCCGAAGGGAGATCGGGAGCAGAGGCTGCTCCCGGCTCTCCTCTGAATGGGGGATCTTCCAGTGGGAACGGCGCGGCTGACCCCATTTATTTTGCTTAGACGTATTAAAAAGAGAATAGGAAAGGGCGAGAAGGGCAGTTTTCACTGCTGGGAAGCCGTGGGGGAGGGGGCAGGGCGAGTCGCCCCAAACTCGGGGTAGAGGGCTCGAGGGGCGCGGGGGAGCAAAGCAACTTTCAGCCCCGGGTACCTGCCCTGCCCTCGCTGCTGGGAGAGCGGCCGGAGGCTCGCTGCCTCCCAGAGCCCTTCCCCAGCTCAGCCGTGGGAAAGGGCTGCACGCTTCAGCTTTGCTCTCTCAGCTCTGCAAACCCAGCTATCAGCAGAGACATCCTCCAAATCAGCTTATCTGGGGGAGGCATGGGGGAGAACTAATCTTATTAAAAAGAAAAAAAAAAAAGAAACTGAAAAAAAAAATTAAATTAGAAAAAATCGCATCGCAAATCCAAGCGAAAACTTACCGAGACTACCAAATCCCCCTCCCCCAAGCCTTTCCTAAGAGGGGCTGGAGGGGGAAACTTGTTGAGCGTTTATCCAAACCAGAAACAAAACCAAGCAGGACTGAGAATAACGGTCCTGGCTGCTGGTAGCTGCAATGAGACACGAAGGCTCCGAGAGGCTGCTGAGAATCTAAATCATGTACTTTTCTCTTCCAGACAACATAGGGGGACCAGAAGGGAAAAGGGCTCGGACTGCTTACACCCGCTATCAGACCTTGGAGCTCGAAAAGGAATTTCACTTCAATAGATACCTGACCCGCAGAAGAAGGATTGAAATAGCACATGCTCTTTGCCTCTCAGAGAGACAAATAAAGATCTGGTTCCAAAACAGGAGAATGAAATGGAAAAAGGATAATAAGCTGAAAAGTATGAGCATGGCAGCTGCAGGAGGGGCATTCCGTCCCTAAGCATTTGATCAATTAAAAGTACTGAGCAGTATTAGCTGACCCTGCGTCGTCTCATGTCAGTACTAAGTTGACTTTCTAAAACTTCCTTGTGTTACTTCTGTGAAGAAACCCTGTTCTTGTCGCCCTTATTCATCTTTTAATCATGAGCCTGTTTATTACCATTCTCTCGCGTGTATAAGTAGATCTGCTTTTATCGTACATTTCTTTGTCTTGAATGGCTTTGTCTTGAAAAAAATAATAGATGTTTTAACTTATTTATAAGAAGCGAGCTGTGTTACTTGAAGTAACTGTTAAAACAAAACAAAACTAAACAAAAAAGAACAAAAATGGAAAAAAAAAGAAGTAAAAAAAAAAAAGGAGAGAGAGAAAGGAAACCCTCCCCCGGTTTAGTAAAATGTTATGTGTTGCACTCAACCTGCTTAACTGTGCATGTGTGGTCAAGTGTTAATGTCTGTATAGCTCCAAGCTGTTAAAAATATTTTTATTCAAACTACCTATATAATTCCTGTGTAATTAATGCTGTTGTAGAGGTGAAATGATGAAATCAACTGAACTTGTCCTACGTGTAGTGAATAGTGAATCTGTGACGAAAACTGTGATTCCAAGCAGTATGTCCTTGCTGTGCCTTTGTATATGACTCTTTGCACGAACTCTTAGAAGTGGCTCTTATTAAGCGCAGCTTCTGTGATGTATGTTTTTTGTGAACAAAGTTACAAATATAGTCAAAGTCTGGCTGTTTGAGCAAACTGTGATCAGCTTTTTTTTTTAATTATTATTATTATTATTATTTGTTTTTAAAAAAAAACTGACTGGAAATCAACAAAAAAATAAACTTTCTATTGTAAAGTTTTTGTGATCTGATTTGTGCAAAGCAAGAAGTTGTGCTTCCTGATTTGCCTCTGAAAAAGAAAAAAAAAATTAACCCGTGCAGAGTTTGTTATAATATTTTACCTGGCTCCTACTGCACGTTGCATATGGTGGATGCTGCAATTGTCCGCTACCAGTATTTTTAATTGAAAGTTTGACCATAAGTTCTTCCTTACTTGTTTCTCGCTAGGTGGAAAACTGCATCGCAGGACCACAATCAACACCCTTTGTGGCTGAATCAACTGTTAACTGTTTGCTGATGGTTAAAATTAAAAAAAAAAAAAAAAAAAAAAAAAAAAACCCCCCCCCCCAAAAAAAAAAAAAAACAAACCAAAAACCAAACCACAACCCAAACCCCAAAACATGTGCTTTGTTAAAATACGCTGCGAACTCCAGGGTGTGTTTGCATCGCTCTAGAATTTCTCCTGTGGTTTCATTAAGAATGTTTTAGGACAGCCATGTCCAAGCTCTCTGCGCCTATTAGTAACCCTCTCTAGCCACATTCCCACTCTTCACCCTTTAAAGATTTTTGGTTTTCTTTGCTAGAATTATTTTGCTATAAACGTAATGTTACTTACCCCATCAGAGCTTGAATGGTTAACTCTTCTGAGCTTCTAAGAGCAACTAAAGATTTGCACATTTACTGACTGGTTACATTGATGCCTTCCCTTAAAAGTTATAAAACAGTAAACTTTATAAGCCCCAGTTCCGGCTATATGACATTTGGGTGCCAAATGAATAGGGTTTTGTCTATGAATTAGATCGTAAAATCATCCATAGCACAGACAGATAGGCTCACTGGCTATAAAAAGTCACGTGGTGCCATTAAAGTAAGTTTTATGGTTTTGGGGAGTTGACATCCAACATTATATACCACATAACATATAATCTCACTGACGCTGGACTTCATTTGACTCTTTTGCAGGCTACGTGTGCCTCCTGGCCATTCAAATTGTCAGGTTTAGGGACAGAAGTATCCAAACCACAAGTTCTCAGTACTATGTGAAAAATGGCTCCTTGCAAGTCAAAGGTAAGTTTTGTGCACAAGTTCCTTAAAGTTTATTTGTACAGTGGGGAAGCCGAGGCTCCTGCTCGCTCTCGCTGCCTCTCGCCTCTCTCTTTCTTTCTCTTTCTCTTTCCCTTCCTCTCCGCCTGGAGGTTTTCAGGACGGTCCCACCGAGCCCGAGAGGCAGGATCAAGCACTAATGATCCAGGTTGTGCTGCAAATACCTCCCCCCATCCCTTCACTCGCAGCAGCTAGCTCTCTATTTTAACGATCAAATCAAAGTAAACCACAATAAGCGACTTTGGCAGAGATGGATTTTGGGGCCTAGCTTTAATCACTTTGACTACCGCAGAAGATAATTACTTCCTTTGCTCCAATAGACTCTCCAAGTTTGGAGAGGTTTTGTTTAGCAAAGAGTAGTTACTGCAGGCGATTAAAAAAGGGGGAAACAAAATAGATTGGGCTTGATATTATCTGGGCAGTATCTTATGTAGGCATGATAGAGTTGGAGGCGTGATGATATGGTAATAATCTTTGGATTGGTGAAATATGTTGCACATCAGAGCCAGTATTAAAATGGCACAGACTGTACTGGAGTGCTTAGATACATATTTTCTGCATTGGGTTGTGCAGAAAGCTTTAGCTGTGTGTATATGTACATCTGCGAGTGCGTGGTGTGTTTTGGGGACGCGCATTTATAACGCTGCTATAACTTTTTCCCGGTTCCATACGTAACTGCATAAATAGAAATGTATTTAAATTATGTGCATGTGTGACTGCATGTACAAATCAGTTTGTACTTCTGTGTGAAGCCGTTCAGATGCATATATGTGTCTAATATTGGTGTATTCATGTACATAAAGGGTGTGTACGTGTGTGCACTTATATATGTTCCTGTGACTTCCTTTTTTTTTTTTTTAAGCGAACCAATTGACTGTAACTTGTAGCATTAATACAAGAGACTACAGGTCATTAGAGTGCTGCAAATTATGAAATACGGGCTTGGTTTATTGAAGATTGTAAATATCCCCCTAGCTCTGCTCTCTCCCTTTCTGCCTTATATTGCTGGCTGCCATTGTGGGGTAGGCCCCAGCTGCGTGTTTACTTCAACATTCTTTTTATTTAAGTGGACTGTTCTCACTAGAGTGTGATTACTCAGCAATAAACTTTATGGCCGGATTTAACTTCAGTCTTTGAATTTCCAGGACTTGAATGAAAGGGTGAAAGGAACTCTATCTTTCTCTGGGTAACATTAAGGCCTGATCCTTATCCTCAGAGCTGTTACTTTGGCGAGTGATCTCGGGGGGTATAAACAGACTAGTCAGGGACTATGGTAGAATTCTGAGAATTGCCTATTACCTATCTCTCTCTCTCTCTCTCTCTCTCTCTCTCTCTTTCTCCAAACCAGCTATGGGTATCTCTTTCTCTGCACAGGTTTGGAGTAACATTGGTTCAGCAGATTGCATTTTTTTCTTTTATGTGTCATAAAGTTGGGTTTGCAAAAGAATGGAGTGGTTTGATGTGAGAGATGGGCTTTGTTTTATTTCGCTATTGCTATGCCATTTGAATGTTGTGGTTTAGGCTGGTTTGGCTACTGTGAGCGAAAATGGGAGAAAGGCGCAGGGTTTCAGGAGGGTAAGGTTGTTGTGTACCTCTGCAAGGTCTGCATATTGCTGACTGATTCCTATTTTTAATTTATTTGTCTTTAGCTTTAAAGAAAAGGTAGTATCTAATGTAGGTTCACCCCAAAGAGCTCAGTCTTAAAAACATTTAATATTTAAAGACAACCCTTGCGGAAGATAAATAGAGTCTGATGCCTTTGTGTCTGTCGATCCTTCCTGTCAGCACTAAACAAACACATCTGCATATATTTCATATTAAAAAAATGAGAAAGGCTTTAAAAAAGCATATCCAAATGCGCATTCGAAAATAATTTCCTCTTAAACAGCTGGAGATTTTATAGTACTCTAGTTGACACATTTTCATCAATAGGAATATCAGAAAGTTGTGTATGATAGGCGTGTATTATACTATATGCCATAAAATTTTATAGTTTGAGGCAAGGCATGAAAAACCCTTAAAAGTTTGGTCTTCATTTATATATAGGTCCCTTTCCAAAGAAAACCCTTTGCTTGTAGACGGGAATTATACTAGACACAAACAGCTCGTGATTACTCAGTATTTAACAACAACACTGCGCTATTTGAATTAACTGGCTAATACACAAGCACGCAAGGATGCCCGTTGGACTAATATTTTAGGATCCTGGATATCATCCTGGGTTGTAATTTTTCATTGCCTAGAGTGAAAAGATTTGCTACTGTGTATTTTCCACATTTTTGGATGTGGCTTCTGGACCATATCCCACACAAAGCAATGTACAGTCGTTCAAGAACTATGAAAAAGAAAAATATCCCTAAGTCCAGAAGCATATGAACCCGCCTGTACTGCAAAAACCACTAGCAACAAAAGAAAGTTAGCTAGAAATGACAACTTCACCCTGTTTCTGGTCCTGCCCCGTATTAAGCATCACAGTTGAAACTATTCAAACACAGAAATGCGTTAAGATTTCCTAATACGCTTTGAAATTTGAAATTCAAACGAGCCCAGACTGCCGAACTCTGCGAAAATAGTCCCAGGTCCGAATTGTTTTCCGAGGGAAAATGTAATGGGAAATTATACCTGGGAATCAGGAGAGAGGTTTTATCTGCACACGTTATTTTTCTGAGTTTGGGGGATTAATAAGTGCAAGATTTTTTCTATTTTAGGAATGTCAAGTTGCATTCTGCGATTTGAAATACAGTTTACTTAGTCCTTTGAAAGGAATACTTGCGTGTAGTGTCTCATGTCTAAGTGTAAAACCAATTAAAGATTAGGCAGCTCTCTTAATGTGTGGAACTGGTGACTTTGCAAGACTTAACTTTCTCTAAACCAGGAGTGTAACAATCCAATGGAAAGTCATCCGTAAATTACAGCTCTGCAGCCCTGGCTAAACCATGCAAACGCCCTAATTTCAGAAGAGGGAAATTATTATTCTGCCATTTCCTTAAATGTAATAAGTGTGTATCTGTGGAAAGGTGACAATAGAGGAGTTTGCAATCTGCTCCATGGGAAATCGAATGGAACTGATCATGAGGGGGGGATCAGGAGGTTTCGATTTCTAACGCTGAATACGGGAGCAATGCGTTTTCCCTCCCCGTAAATACAGATTTGACGCATTTAATGCAGACACAAGTAAATCTCCTGACCAAGTTAAGATGTCGTTGGCTTTCTTAGTCCTTTCTCTTTCTGCCCTCAAAATCTTCCCGATTTGAGGCTAGGGTTACTAGCTAGAGCGGAAAACCACAGTTCCCACAGTCTTCTGGTCATCTTTGAAAATATTATCCCTTTCAAATTAAAGCATCTTCACTAATGTCTCTCTGTAAGGCAAATACTCATGGACCACCCTGGTCACATGTTCCTGCAGCTATGCGCACAAACAATTTCAAATCTGACACAGAGACCGTGTAAAATTTGCATGGATTTTGCCTTATAACATGCAAAAGGAATCTTTTCTATATCCCCTCCCCCCAAAAAATGTCTTTTCAATAATAATATTTGCTATGAAGGTTATTGGGTAATTATTGCAATTTTGTGGAACAGTCCTTGCTTGAGGTGAAGTCTGTCTCCGGATAATAAATGGCAGCCCGTGCAGTTCACTGCCAGGTTAAGTAAATGCAGAAAAGATAAATCTGCACACCCTAGGAATCACCAGCAGAGCTCGCTTTAGACCAAGTTCACAGTCAACTCGTTTGCCTAGACAAGGCTTCGCAAACAATTAGACTTGTTTCTTTATGTTTAAATCAAGGAGAAATGACTAAAACCCTTCAGCAGAGAGCTGCAGCTTTTCCCGCAACGCTCGTCGCTCCATTCCTTCCAACCTCACGCCCGGAACTTACCCGGCATTTCACCTGCAATTGTAACCATATAGCGCCTTTGAGTAACAGGCTTCCCTCCAACGCTGCCGAAAGGCTGTGCAAACTGATCTAACAGCATTTTACAAAGCTGAGAGATTAAGGAAAAGAAAAAAAAACAATGAAAAATGCAAAAGTATCCGATTTCTCAGCAGCAAGAAGAAGGAAAAAAAAAAGGCAACAACAAAAAAGAGCGCCCTTAGAAAGCTGGGGGAAACAAGCAGAAGTATTGAAACAAACAGTGCGAGTCTCTTACTCCTAAAAGAAGCTGCATAGCTTTTGTATATCTTTGTGGTTAAGGGCGTTACAACTGCAGGTCAAAAAGTTGAGGGTCAAAAGTTTACGTTTTGCACCACTCTTAGTCATTCGCCCAGACAGAGTTTGATGTCAATGTTATAGCCGAGATCTTGACTATCAGCACAAAAGATAAAATAGCTTTGAGTTACGTGTGTATCACAGTATGGACTCCAGGTGAACCCTACTGGCTGAATGACCTCAATTACCAAGGAAAGGATAGAAAATTCCTCTTTTCAAGAGTAATACACGTTGTATTTCATCTTGAATTATCAGACACATTTGCGTCTGAATATCTCGGGTTCAGCCGCGGCAGGTAAACACGCGTGTTACCCCCACAGAAGCCACTGATGTTGCCTCCTCCAAAAGTCAAGTAGCAAAATGCCTCACCCTTGTTTATTATATAATAACCTGCTCTAAGAGGTTTAATGTTAAGCCTTCTCACTTTGCAAAATGGCAGGAAGATAAGATAGGAGCGAAGCTATTAACGCGTGTATCGATCCTAGCCGCGTCTTTGTTTTTGCTCTCATTTCTGTAGCGACCGCTAAACTGTGCTTAAACAGGACATGCCGGAGATAATACGGGCTATATGTTTGGTCCGAAGGAGCTCGTTTAAAATGCGGAGCGGTGAAGCCGTGTTGCGATACCCATGGAAAATATTACGGAGAAGCTGGAGCCCGGCACCTCTCCGTGATTTGGAGGGTTCTCACAGGCTTCTGGAATTACCCGAGGCGGCAGTTCCCAGCGAAATTTGGAGTAGAACGGGTTGTTTTTCCTCTTGCCACCCACCCCTCTTCACCCTTCCAAGAAAAAGTTTAGTGGAATTTCTTAGCGCGGAGAGATTCCCACATTGCTGGGATTTTTTTGTTCCCAGTGCCGCCTCTGAGTGAAAGCCTTAGCTTCTTGGTTAGACGTGTCTGCAGGGACAACTAGCCAATATTGCTCAAACAACTTCATTTTGGAGGACATCATCGCAGACGGGATTCAGCTTGAAATTTTAAGGCTGAGGGGTCGGTGGAAGAGGGAAAGGATATTCGAATATAGCCATAATCAGACCTGAAAGGTGTGGAGGAGGGGACAGTGCGACAAGGAAATCCGAGAAAGAGCGCACCTCACCCCCAACCATGCATTGCTGCCTTTCCACCCCCAAGGCAGCAGCCTACACCGGCCTCTGTGTAACTGGTACGCGTGAATTATTTGCCAGAGACACAGCTGGATCGTGGCAGGCGAGCGCTGTATCTTGGGAACAAGTACGCGAGAGGTTAGATATCAGATTAGCCAAAGTGATTATCGGAGATTGTGCCTAAAGTACCTGCTGAAGCCTGGAAAGTGTGTAATGCAAGTGTTTGCTCGGCGTGTAGACGCTGTTCACAAGTTGTTGCTGCTGCTCACTTGTAGCGAGCCCTGGCACTGCACGTTTAGGGAGCCTGCCCGCTCTGGAGATAGTATATAACCTTTCACATCCAGACTATTTATTTGGTGTAAGAGTGAAGCCTGATAACAAGCTAAAAACCGTAGCCAAATATCTATTTTGTTAGAGAATAGCAGGCGGATTGTTTCCAAGAATAACAATGCGTCTTTGATATACCCAGAATGAAAGCTGTTACTATAACCGGCTTACTCAAGAGTAGGTGACAGAAATCCATTTACTTCCTCACTAAAACAATTAGTGGTCCGAATTCCATAGTTTAAACCTGGTTTAGAATAAAATTATCATTGAGAATAATTTCAAATAAGTTGAAACCGCGACTTACATAAATATTGACTCTTTTCAATTATTGTTTAAATTGTCTCCCCCTCCCAAAAAAAAAAAAAAAAAAAAAAAAAAGCCAACAGGCTAGAACAGGACAGTTAATAATTTGAGACGAACTCTCTCTGTCCTTTCACTCTCTGCATTCAGCACGCTGCTCTCTGGCGTGGAAGGTCTGCTCAAAAGACCATTCATTTAAAATCCGGGCACAAATCACATTTTACGTGTGTTTATTTAAGCGCACCAGGACAGAGTGAGCAAACCCCGCCAACCATCCCGTTGTTAAGAGGAGCCCCAGTGCCAGGGAAGCCACCGCTTTTATCAAATGCTGAACTTGGGGCAAAAATGCCAACATTGCCCCGGCAGCGCCCATCGGGAAGGACGCTCTCATCCGCGGAGGCAGGAGCAGCCTCGGGGCTGTATCATTCCCAGGAACAAAGAAAGGAATACAGTCGATACATTCCATAACGTTTACATTTTCCCTCGATTTTTTTCTTATTTTTCCCTTAGAAGAAGTGACCTGGGCAAAGCACCCTGCTATCTAAAAGACACTGTTATAGACCTTTTAGAAAAACTAAGTCCAAGGCCGAGGTGAACTTCAGGTCACCGCGTCTAACAAATATGAAAATGTCGCCTGGTGAAGGGCACGCCTTGTTATTTAACAAAGACTGTCAATGTGTAAGATTAATAAGAAACAAAATGCACACGGTGTCACTTTTCGGTCACTTTGAAACTTGGGACAGCCTCGCATTCAAGAGGGGAAAGCTGGGACTAAATATATTCAAAATGGTTCAAATCAAAGTCAAACCAGGCTGCTAGTGCGATTCTTCCTCCTCCTACCGCTCTCGGTGGAGGATGCCCGGCACGGCAAGAGGTTGACTTGAATTATTATTATTATTATTATTATTATTATTATTATTATTATTATTATTATTATTATTATTATTATTATTATTATTATTATTATTCTACTACTATCATTATTATTATTATTGCTGTTGTTATTATTCTTTTCTCTTTCGTGGTAATTACGTTTTAGCTGCGTATGTGGAGGGTAACAGGAATGCTTGCCTGTTTCACAAGAAAAAGAGGGATCCCCTTTTCCCCCTCTTTCGGTATGTATTGAGTTGCTTCTTCTTGGTGCATGAAAATTTACTTTCTCCCTCTCAACTTAATTCCAGTGCTTCCCCATCCCATTCTCGGCCAGCCTCGGCCAGGAAACTCGCTTCTTTATTAATTGATTGAAGTCTCCTTCTCCAGTGAAATCGAGCCTTTAGTCCTTCTGGAAAAAATAAGGGAACTGGCCTATTTTATCCTATCCTTTTCTTTCTTTGAGAACTTAGGGTGATGGTACAAGTTTGTTAAAGGGAAGTACTGGGGGAAAAAAGGGTTTGAGATTGTTTATTACAGCCATAAATCTTGCAGTAAAACGTCGAAATGGCCGTGTGCAAGATAACACTTGGTGGTCTTGGCTGGGTTCTTGTTTATGATAACAAAACCAGAAAGACACGGAACAGGCCTTTTGGAGGTCCTGCCTCAGCACATCTTCACAGACTAAGAGAACCACACGAAAAAGCCAGACTTGAGCTGGGCAGCTCAGGTCACCTTGCAGATTTACACTCGTATACAAAACTGAGTCCTTCTCTCTCCAACCAAGCGCCAGAGCCCTGCTGTAGCAAAGGGCACGGTGAAACTTTGAGATCTAATCACAGTAAATAATATGAAGCAGAGCCCGCTCAACTCTCCCAATATAGCGCTGATCTTACAAAGCGAGACAGCACTTCTCGTTGTGTTTTACTGTGGCGTGGGAACACGGCCGCCCGCCGTAGTGCTCCGGCCACAGAGCCTCAGGACTTATGCCGAGGATAATATTTACGATACCCCAGTGTAATTCATCTGGTGCTAGCCGGCAGGTATTTGTATGTATGCGTCTCTGTGTGTGCATGTATCTCTTTATACCGGGAAAATGCTTTCGTGGTGGACTTCGGTGATCTTTTATTTTTAACAGTCATGCAGATAGGAGCTTTTTTTTTTCTTTTAGGAAATGGGTTTGCTGTTGTTTTGTTGTTTGGAATATAAATAAAACAATCTCCCCTTTTCTATCAAATGTGTGCTGTTGAGCAGTTGCGGCTGTCTCTGTGTGTAACCGCGTGTGTGTAACCGCATTTCCTCTCCACGCAGAGTAAATAGAGAAACTTATCTATTACGCTAGTTAGAGTTCCATAGATGTGCTGTTGGAAATGAGTAAGTAAATGTGTTTTAACTCTCTTTACAAATTAGACATTCGATAGTAGGAGGAAATGAGTGATTGTTTAGATAAGTACCCCAGTATACCCAAGTGCTGGAAATGTTCTAACATATTACAAGCCGCATGCAATGTGCGTGCCTATGTGTCTGTGGATAAAATATAAATCGATACGCTGTGTGTCTTGTTAGATAGAATATATATTCAAATAGAATTTTATTGCATGTATCCATTATCTATTAAACTGCAAAAGACAATAATCTGAATTTAAACCAGGGTAACTGTTAGTGTAATATCTTTAGGAAGGCAAGACCTAAACTGTATCATATTTTCGCTTGATATATTAGAAGTATTTTCCCATACCAGTAGATGAGATTTAGCCACTCAGCAATTATATTCTCTAAGGGTGTGGTAAATATTTCTATCCGTTTATATTCTTTCCTGTACAGATTAAAAAATAATCTGAAAAAGTTCGCGCCTACTCCAAATGTGGCACACTAGCTGACGTTCAATAAGTATTTTTTTTCCCCTTAGAATAAGAGCGTAATTAGTTTAACCATCAAATTTCAATTACCTAAGGTCAGGGCGGTTGCCTCGTTTCCCCCTGAGCTGCAAATACCGTTAACAGTCTCAGTTTTAGCAGCGTAGAAGTGCCCGAGTGCCCTCTCCCTCCTACACCAGGGTTTGCGAGCTACTGCTGCGAAGGCGCTAGTGATTTCTTATGCAGGTGAAAAATAAAAAATAAACCCCAAACGAGACACACCAAACCAACAGGCTTAAATTCGTAGTTCAGAAAGCTCTGCTCCGTGGGGAGGGATGCTCGCAGTGAGCCCTGTAATCGCCGGTAGGAAGTGTTTGATATCGTCGTGTCCATCTTCCCCTCTCCCTTCCCCCTCTGTTCCCCGTTATTTTCAGGCTCTCTCTGTGCCTCACACCCCGCTAGCCCCTCAAGGACTCTCCTCGGCCTCCCCGCGACCTTCGTTCTAACTTTTCCTTCAATTAGCCCAGCTTCAAAGGGGCAAAAGGCTGTCCCTGGAGCCCGCGGCCGCCCGCGGTCCGCAGCGGCGGGACGCTGGGGACAGAGCCTGAGGGCGGCCGGTGGCCTGTGCCCGACAGCCGCTGCCGCCCTCTGCCTGCGCGCAGCCCCGGCGCTTGGAGATGGGCTTGCTCGAAAGGGTTGTGCAACGCCTTGTGCAATGCCTGCCTCCCTCTGGATCACGCAGCTGGGCTGCGCTCCGCTTCCTCGCCCTGCTTCCTACACTCTCCCACGGGAGAACGAAGACACAAAAAGTGCTGGGGCGGGCGGGGTGGGTGGGAGGCTGTCAAAGCCGGATTAGTTTTATCTCGCTTGACACCGCGACTGCTGGACTCGGCCCGGGCCGGCGGGCGGGAGGAGCCGGGGATGCTGCTGAGCAGCGGACGCGGGGCTCCCTCTCCAGCCGGCCGCCGCCCGTGGGGGAGGCGCGGTCCCCGCGAAGGGTCCGCGGGCGCGGAGCTGCCCTGCGGCCGCTCGTCCCTCTTCCATTTCCTGATCCGGGGTCCGCGGCCCCGCGCGGTAATTGGCGCTGGCGGTCAGGTGGTGGCGGGGCGGCGGGGGGTGCGGGTGTGTGTGTGCGCGGGTGTGTGTTTGTGTGTGTTGTAGGCGCTCCAGGGGTGGGAAGAGAGGAAGGGAGGGGAGTGCAGCGGGGAAGGGGGGGGGGAAGGGGAGGGGCCTCGCCGAGCCCAGAAAAACGACAACGCGAGAAAAATTAGTATTTTTGCACTTCACAAATTAATGACCATGAGTTCGTTTTTGATAAACTCCAACTACATCGAGCCCAAATTCCCTCCCTGCGAGGAATACACGCAGCACAGCGGCAGCGCCGGCAGCTCCGCCAGCTACCACCCGCACCACTCGCACCCGCACGCCCCGCCGCCGCCGCCGCCGCCGCCGCACCTGCACGCCGCGCACCCGGGCCCGGCGCTGCCCGAGTACTTCCCGCGGCCGCGCCGGGAACCGGGCTACCAGGCTCCCGCCGCGCCGCCGGGGCCGCCGGGGCCGCCTCCCGAGGCGCTCTACCCCGCGCAGGCACCCTCCTACCCCCAGGCGCCCTACAGCTACAGCAGCGCCGGCAGCGCCGCCCCGGGCCCCGAGCAGCCGCCCGCCAAGGGCCACCCCGGCCCGCCCCAGCCCCTGCTCCCAGGCCATGCCCTGCAGCGCCGCTGCGAAGCAGCCCCCGCCGCCGGGGCCGGCACCGGGCCCGCCTGTGCGCTGCTGCCCGACAAGAGCCTGCCCGGGCTGAAGGGGAAGGAGCCGGTGGTCTACCCCTGGATGAAGAAGATCCATGTGAGCACGGGTGAGTTGCCCTTGCCAGGGGGAGGTGGGGATGCGCCTGCAGAGGAGGGAAGGGGGGAGGGTGCTCCCGGGACCGGGATGGGTCGTTGCGTGTGTGGCTTTTTTTTTTCCCCTCCTTCTCCCTCCGCGTTTCCTAATAGTAAAGAAAAAAAAAAAATGAAAGAAAGAAAAAAAAATCAAGGAAAAAAAAAAGAAAAAAAAAAAGAAAAAAGTGAGAAACCTTTTGTATCCGGGGTCCTTTATCAAAAGATTTACGAGACGCCAAACTGTTAGGGCAGTAATTATAGCCCCCATAAATTTAATTGCCCTGCAGTGGCTCTGGGCCATGTGTCTTTGAAGCTTTTCTTCTAACCCAAATGCCCATCACCATTTTTTATTGCTCCTCGATTGTCCCCACTGTCGATAGGCTGGGAAACAATTTTTCTTGCCGTTTATGTATCTTATGTGAACCCGGTGTCAAGTTATTATATAATGATTATGTTCCATCCCTTCCCCTCTCCTTCTTTCCTCTCCGCGTGTGTATGTGTGTGCCTGTGTGTGCACGTTTCAGTCAATCCCAATTACAACGGAGGGGAGCCCAAGAGGTCTCGCACAGCCTACACCAGACAGCAGGTCCTGGAGCTGGAGAAGGAGTTTCACTTCAACCGCTACCTGACCAGAAGGCGACGCATCGAGATCGCGCACACCCTCTGCCTCTCCGAGCGCCAGGTCAAAATCTGGTTCCAGAACAGGCGCATGAAGTGGAAGAAAGACCATAAACTGCCTAACACAAAGATGCGCTCCTCAAACCAGTCCACACTGAGCCAGCAGTCCAAAGCACAGACACAGGGCCACCCCCATCCGCTCGATGGGGCTACACCCAACGCAGCTGCGCTATAAATACGGTTTTTGGTTTTAGTCTTTTTGGTCTTTTTTTGTTTGGTTGGCTTTTTTTTTTGTCGTTGTTGTTGTTGGTTTTTTTAATATATATATATATATATACCTATCTATTGGGGTTTTCAAGCTGCCTCGAGGTGGAGGCTGGCCTTTTGGACCAAACTGTGTTAAACAAAACAGGAGCAGAAAAGGAAGACGAGACGTGTCCAAGAACGGGCACATGTTTAAACCAAAACCCGGACGATTGTCTACATTGTATATAGATAATGGTTCCATGCCCATCATTTTTTTCTATTTATGGAAACACTCTCTTGCCCTCGGTGTAAGAGAGGGATGGATGCTGTCATGGACGAATTCTCTGTACCTAAGACGGACTCTTTTTTTTTTTTTTTTTTTTTCTTTAGGGAACACGTTAAAAAATAAAAAAAAAACGTTTAAAACAAAGCAAAGAGCTCGTGAGACACTTGTGTAAGGCATTGACTTGAATAGCGCTGTTCTGTGGTGTGTTCATGGATTTCTCTGTGCGTGCTTGTGTGTGTGGTGGTGCACAGGCACGTATACACACACAGACCAACATGGGAGAATGAACATGTCCACAAGAGGTTAAAGACTTATGAAAAAGTCCCCTTACGCTGTCTAAAGGAAAATGTTTTATGTATCAAAGGTAACTTAACTGGTTTTAAGTGTAGCCCCCTCAGTAGCTGTGATCTATTAGTTTTTCTCCACATTCCCTATTGCATTTATTTAAAGAAATATTGCTATAAAGGCTGTTGCTGTCTTCATATTTGGCACCGTCTAAATAGTTTGGGTCCATGTACAATTTGTGGATTTTTGGTGTAATGTATAACAGTGCCAAATGCTAGTAATAAAGATTATTCTGTACAAAAGAATTAAACGCTTGAAACACAAGTCCACTACGTGCTGTTTCATCCACCTTGTGCTTGGCCGCTGTTGGCATCAGGAATGGAAAACAACAGTTTAATGCATTGTTTTGACTTGGATTCATTTTGTCAATAAGGTAATGGTTATTTTAAATGTGGTGGAAAACCTCCTGACTCCTACTTGCCTGGCTGGGAAAAATTGAGTTGCAGGACGAGGAAAGGTCTTGCTTCATTGTATAGGTGAGTGGTGCTCTCTTTAGCTGGCTTAGACAGAATGAGTCTCACTCCACCGCTGGCCGTGAGACTGTTTTAAGCTGCCTGACAAGAGAAACTGTGCTTCTTCTGGGAGCCAATAAGCTCCCATGCCGTGATAACACTTTAAATCTTTAGCCAGTCGTGGTTTATTCATTCATTTTCGCCTGATTATGATTTCTTAGCTGGATAACACTGCTTAAGGGGAATACATGAACGGTAACCTAAAATTTCTTTTTAAGCTGCCTTTTCTGTTTCTATTTCATTTTTTCTTTTGTTTTGTTTTTGTTTTAAGATTACTTCAAAATGTGTTGAGAAAGCCTTGGTAGACACATGAATTTGCACAGAACTCATGAACCTTTTTTGACCGAGATTGTCACAACTACTGTGGCAAAATGGGATTCAGCTGGTTCCAGCTCAGGCTGTGCATCTTCCTGCTTCCAGGCAGCTAAGGAGCTCAGGCAAGGCAGAGCTGCTAACAGAGAGCCCTGCTTGGGGCTTTCACAACACGGTGTAGCACTGAGCTGGGTAGGAAAAGTCTTGGAAAGGAGCTCAAGTGCTACTAAATCTTCCAAGGAAGACCTGAAGGCCAATAGTTATTTATTTACTCATTCAAATACATACAAGATGGATTCTTGGAATTCACCTAAGTGGGGCCACCAGGACCAGGGGGCATCCTCATCCCTGGCTGAGGTAGCAGCAGGCCCCAAAGGTTGTGCCAACATCCCTGCCTAGCCATGGAATATGTACCATCCCAGAGAAAAATGTAACATTCCACTGGCAGAACACGCTCAGCATCAGGGAGGTGGCAGCTGTGAACACCCTCAGCAAACACGGCTGTCCCCATACCTGACCAAGGAGCAGGCCTGGAAAGCACACTTCTGCTCACATATTACTGTTTACTAAATTCTGAGTCGCCAGTTGTCTCCTTACAATGGGGGAAAAAATATAGCTCCATGTCAGGTAACTACTATCAGCAAATGTGTAACTCTTCATTTGGTTTATTGCTTAAGAATCCCTTAATGTGTTTAGAGCCAAAATTAGCACAACTGAGCAAAATTCCAGCTGAAACATATTAACTGGCAGCGCAGGATTTCTTTAGTGTGCAGCCTATGCGTATAAACCTGGTTTGCTCCCATTGTAAAGAGAAATGAAATCACGCTGCAAATAGCAATTTTAGCGAGAATCATTAATCACCTCCTACAATAAATACTTCTTTGTAATTCAACAGCGGTTCTGAAAGGCATTCTCTTGGAAAAGTCTGTGAAGACGCAAAGGATTTTCCTGGGGGAAAAAAAAAAGTGGTCATGTGTAAAGACACAGCATCTTGGCTGTCTCCTAAAAAAATGTACATTCTCTTGCTGGAGATTGAACTGCGGACTGCAAAATACCCCATGGCCGATTTTCATCGTTTAAGGTAAATTCTCCTTCCTTCTCTTCCCCTTGTGCCTGTGTTGGGAGCAGAATGCTGCTCCCGGGCTGGGAGCCCTCTGCTCCCCGTCCAATACCTCCCGTCTTTACAATAACCTCAAAAATTACATCGTCCTGTTTAAATTCTCGCATTGTGCTCCCTTTGCTAAGGCAACCAGGAGTTCACCGAGAGGACAAATTTTCTATCCCATTAATTGTTTTTTTTAGAGGAGCAGACTGACCCTTCAAACCCTTGACCTTTAAAGACAGTATTCTTTTTAATCCGGCACTTGGACCTAAATGTCTCTCCCCCCTCCCTCTCTCTTGCTCTCCCGGTGTCTCTCACACACGGATTTATCTGCTCTGGCCACAAAGGCGAGCACAGCTCAAAACGCTGGAAGTGGAAGTGTGTCAATATTTCAAAGAAAGACCAAATCACCTCGGAGTCAATTTGCTGTCAGCAGGGAACGCCACTCGGTTAACCCCGGCACCCACCTCCCCTCCACCCACCAAGAAAAATCCTCCTCTTCTGAGATCTCCATCCTCCTTTCTCCTGCAAGATCTTGCTATACCTGGTGTTTCATTACAGGAGGAGCTGAACTGTGACAAGCGCCTTGTGGTATTTAATAACCAGGGCCATCCCGCATCGGGGGATTACGCAGTGCTAGGATTTTTTAAAATTTTTTTTTCCTTTTTTTTTTTTTTTGGGTTTTTTTGGTATTTTTGTTTTCCCCCTGGGTCCTTGCAGTCCCAGGTCCTCTTGTCCTGTGTTTGTAAACGAGGAAGGGGTGGGGGGAGCCCTCGCACGGGCGGAGATCCGGACGGGCTCGCAGCGCGCCTCCCGCTCTCCGGGCCCCGGTGGGCTCGGGGCCGCGCTGGGGCAGCCCGGGCCGGCCCGGCTCCGACCCCGGCCCGAGCGGGGCGA